AAAATGTTCTAGACACTTTCATACCTCCTACTCGCCCATACCCGATGTCCTGTTCTGTCAACGCTGCGCCGCAAAAACAATTAAAACCCAGCGCTCAGACATTTTACGAGCGTCGGCGGCGACGACGTCTGGTACATACTTCTCTGCTGAGCTACCGGCTCAAGCCCCTTCTTTGGGCAGGCCAAACGGCTACCCCGCTGTTAGCTCTGCTGCCATTAACTTTATTTACCTTTGGCGCTGATTTGGCTAACAATTTTTTTGCTTGTCTCTCCGTCTGCAGGTTTGATAAATGTTTTGCAAATAGCAGGCGACGCTTGGCGTCCAGCCAAGCGACCTGAAAGTAGGCAACCGTTTTTTTTTATGTTCCTTTCTTTTCTCTTAATATATATTTCGATTCATTTTCCAGCCATAGCATTAATAACTGTCAGGCTGTGTAAAACCATTTCTAGCTGATTTCCCTGATACTCAGCTATGTTTTTGCTTTTTATTACGTTTGACAAAAAAATGAAAAATAGATATCACATAAAATATAACAAAATTCATGCGCTGTCTGCTCGGCTCCTTTGCATAACACAAGGTGCAAAAGGCGCAACAGGACATGCCACTGCCACACCTGGTCTAAGGTGCGGCCAACTGGTGCGTGTATATAAAAAATTATGTTAATGAAAGCCACGATGAGCCGCACTGTTCAGCCCGTGGCACATATATGTTTATATATTCGCCTTAAGAGCAGCCTAGTTGGGGTTTTTCATAATACGGGGCTCATTGCATTTTTAAAACATTGTTTTATAAGAATAAAGTCTCAGAAAATGGCGAATTTTAACTGCTCTACAAAATCTTAAAGGTTCTTATGTGGGGGAACTTCTGGGAATATTTTTCTATGGAAGCAAAGTTTTAATATTAACAAATTTGCAAAATATTTCAAATATAACTTTTATATTTATGTTTACAAATTTCTAGAATTGTTCAAATATAAATTTTGAAGACCTTGCCTTATGTTATGATGATGCTATATACTTTTTGAACCTTCACAAGATTACAAGAACTTTAAGTTCCTTCTACATATTTATCGAAAACCTTTACAGGGTATTGCATATTCTTTACACTCTGTCACTTTTGTCTATCTGCCCTGTCATATTTTGCGTCTGCGGGAGTTTCATGCATTAAATTATGAAACCAAGTGAGTTGTAGACAACTTGCCGGCTAACAACGTCTGCTGCCTGTCGCACAACAGACTGAAGCGAATTTCATTTAAGTACAAACAATTTAAAGGGTTTACGACGCGTTCATAGCTTATACCCAAAATAATGAAATTTGCAGAAAAAGCAGATGCATTAAGAAGTTTTCTCTTTAGAGATATAAAATTCAAATACTTCTTGGTATATGCTTTAAATGTAAAACTAATATTGAGCCAATTAGCCGCAAGTCTTATCAATTATTGCAAGACATAAATTCTGTGTGCAGACAAGGATTAAATAAATTTTGGAAAAATTAGGCACAAAATTTCTGCTACTTTGCAAATGTTTTTCTATTAACTATTATTTCGCTCTGAAATACTAAACAAAATTTACCAACAATTTTTATTCGGGAAAAGAGTAAGAGAAATACTAAATTATATTATTTAAAATTAATACTCTGGTCATTTTGTATGACAAGCCAATGCAGTAAAAAGTTAATTTCTCAGCAAATCTGAAGGCAGGTTGCTGGTTCGAACCGCAACTTCTTACTTTAGGGGGCCGGCAGCTCTGTAGTCCGCCTTAAATGTAAAGAGCAGAAGAAACTGCTTAAAGTTGGACCCGTTTTAGGGCCTGCTGCAACTGATGTGACAGGCGCAACAACAACAACAAGGAAAATTCTGGTCAACTGGCTGTGACCTGACGCATATTAATGCCCGGTCACAAAACTAGCGCAATTAATTTGGAATATTCGTAATTGCGGAAAATTCATTCAAATGCATTCAACGCTAACAACAGCCTGTACAACATGCTGGCTCTCCCTCTTCCTCTCCCTCTCTTGACCGACAACTGGCACATTAATATATAAATCGCTTTTCCAGTTGCAGTGCTGTAAAATTTATGGGGAAAATGCACCGCAAAATTTATCACATGTCCGGCAAAGGGAGCTTTGAATGGTTACGCTCACTCGAACTGGCAAATCGTTTTATATATCTATATGCATGTATGCTATATAGTATGTATATATTAATGTAAATGCTTATGTATGTGTGTGTATGTATAATAAGCAGCGTATTTGCATAGACTGCTCAATAAGTCAAGAGGTCCATAGCCCAACTCAACAAAGCTGGCAAACTTTGCGGCCTAGCTTTGCCCGTGCCTCCTCCCCCCCTCCTCTCCACAGCCCATGACCTAGCTCGTTGCAATGCATTAATTATGATAATAATTCTGGAGGCTTTAATAAGCATTTGGCATTCTGTGGGCACTTTGCTTGCCTTTCTGCCCCGTCGAGCTATTCAAATATGCAAACAGCTCAGCACTTGCAGTCATCTCTAGTCGTTGTTGTTGTTGTTCTTGTTGTTGTTGTTGTTGCACTTGTGGAGCCACTTGACTGCATTGTCAGGTAATTACAATAAGACGCTTATAAGCTCATCGAAAACCAAAGTGCCAAGTGCAAGAAGTTGACTCGGGGCCAAATGAATAACAGCATCAGCAACTACCAAGTCTCTGATTCTCCAACAGAGATTACTTTCACCCCCCCCCCCCCCCCGTTTCCCCCTCGCCTATCGCTTTCGACGCCCCTGCACATTGTGTTTTTGGCATATTTTACAATAATTAACTGTAAGCTGCTCAAGTGGCTGCCAGTGAAGTTGACCCTGCGGCAAAAGAGGGCAGACAATTGCAACTGCACTGACAATAAGTAAAAGTGCTTTAGTCGGGACTGTGCGACTCGAAGAGTTTCTGTTGCAAAGATCAAAATCGATATTTATCGATACCAACAAAAATGAGAAATATTAGGATGGGGTTGTTAACTCGTTCTGCTAACGATGTGCACCAATATGAAAATTTGAGAATATCTAGTCTTCAGCTTTTATAGTTTTCGAGATTAGAGCTTTCCTAGCTCGTCGATCTGATTAAGCATATATACAGCTTATGGAATCGCAGCAACTTTCATACTTATGTATACACATTATACCCCTTTGAAACCAAGGGTTATAGGGTATATTAATAGAGAGCGCACACAGAACTTGGGCAACTATTGCAAAAGTCGAACATGCAATTAAAATAGCTTTGCGGCAACAAGTTTTTATTTAAGTAATTGCAATTGTAAATTGTTTTTTTATTCAGATAAGCCCAAAAGTGCGCAAATCTATCTAAAAGTGTGCCCTAACTACAAAACTTTTCTACTACACCCTAGCATTTTTAATGGGATGAAATACTTTCAGAGGAGAATATAATTTTTGTTTGTAAAACAATAAACTTATGTTTTTATAAAGCAGTCAGTGCTGGGAAGAACACTTCAAACTCATAAAAAGCAACTTCCTTTAAGCTGTTCTAGACTCAAGACATGTTTTGTCTGAGAAAAGTGCTGCCCATTTCGTTCGAATACAACGCGCTATTTGCTTCGATTGCTGCTCTACAGGAAACAGTTCACAGTTTGATTGCACTCGCTGTGCTCTTTTCCAATGCTGGGCAACTTTCACTTTGGCCAAATGAAAATTACAGTCAATGCCTAGTGGAAATTTGGCAATTCGACAGAGTCTTTCACCTTGGTCGGCGATTTATGCCGACGATTAGTGAAATTAAGTGCCCAATCATAGATGGCGCTGCGCTGCAATGAAAGCCCTTGCCAGTCAGCGATTTTCGAAAGCAAACCCAAAATCTAAGCCCAGAGCGCAGTCAAACTTAAGGCCAGGTGTGGCAGGCTGCTACCAAGGCTGGGGCCTGGCTCACTTTTACCAATATCTCTCACAGTGTGTGTGTGTGTGCTTGTGGCACGTGTGGCAAATGGCAGCACACTTGCCACACGTCTTGACCTCGCTTAGAGAGACTTGAGGCTGGCTTCTGATAATTTGTCGCCTAACACTTTTCATTATCCGGCGCATAAATCAAATATAATATTTAATAAATTTGTACACTTGTGTACATAAAGCGTGATTCATAAGGGGCCATAAATAATGCTAATAATAAATAAAAAGAAAGCCAGAGACCGCGACCTGGCAATTTGATGTAACAACCAATCATTATTAATAGCCGAAAAAAAAACTAAAGGCAAGAAATTGCACACACGCCATGTTGGCCGGCAGGAAAAAAAAAACTACAACATAATAATAACGGGTTTATTTTTTTGTACATTGTTTAATTCGCGGCGAATCGTAGTCAAGCTCAAGATGTGCACATACAGATATCAGATATCAGGGGTCGCTCTGACTAAAGCAAGCGCCATAAATCAAAAATAATTATCTTTTTTTCGTTTGGCGCTGCAGGTGAAAAAGCAGCAAAAATTGATAAATCGATGCTGATAAATTGAAAATTACTAAAGAAATACAACAATGGCGCAACAGTCAAGTGTGTGTGTCTATGCCACAGACATAAACATGAGCATATCGCCACAATGTGTGGCTGATTCCTTTCTTCATGCTCAAATTGCATGCCGACTACTTGTGGCGAGGGCACAGCTAGCTATTCAGTTCGCCAGTCGGATTTGGCTTATTCCTTTGACCTGTGTTGGGAGACAGACATACGTGCACTGTGGAGCAAAAATCAAAGCGTGTGCCAGATAATAGATAATGCTTCTGTACATGGCACTACTTTTTTTTTACATATATTATCCAGTACGGAATCAGAGGAGACTTTTCTGTTTTCATCCTTCTGCCAATTAAGCATCAGGTACACAAAAACCTCTCCCAAGATAGACTGCTAAATAGACAGTGTGACCACTGTTGAATTAAGAAAAAAGTACCACGCAAATACCAATTTGCTAACACTTGAGCGAAGACTAATTATGGCATTATAAAGATATATATAAAATGATTATCGACTTACCATATTTTTTAAAACCTTTCCTTTTATGCTTTAAATTAAAGGAAGCACCGCACCTGAAAGAAATAAATTTAAAAATATATAAGATGTATAGCAAACATTCAACAAACATTCATAAAAGATAAAAATAAAATAAAAAAATTTTATATATGCATATAAATTGTATAATATGAAATGTTGGCAAATTCCACTTGAAAATTTAGAAATATTATATGTAATTAGATTATTTAGTAATGCAACACTTGAATTCCAGCACATGCCAAAGAATTTATTATTTTTCACAAAATTTCCTTCAATATGGTGCCACTGTGCAATTTAAGTCGGTCCGAAAAATTGTTGATGCGACTACCCGCGGGGCGGAAAATCAAATACTTGAACGTAATATTTAAGGAAAAATCACGTTTCACATAAAAGACGCTAACGTGGCCAAAGTCAAATGGAAACAATAGCCGTGAGGGGCGTGCCGCGAGGCGTGCCACTTGGCCGACGATTGCCCGGCAATGGTCGGCAAGTTGATTTTATTGCGCTTTAAATTAAATATATTGTACAATTTATATAGAAGGAAAGTGAAGTGAAATGATTTTGTAGACCGACACAGACACACACACACAAACACACACACAACACATCACGTATGAGACAAACACAAAAAGTAACCGAAAGCAACTTTTGCACATGGCAGCAACTGAGGCATGACCACTGAACTGGACAATGTCCGTCCGGCTTCCGCAGCAGCTGCCTCCGGGTCTGGCCGCACCAAGGCATCTAGCTGAGGTTGAAAACTGCAGACTTGGCATCAAATAAAACACACACAGAACCCAGCGTCGACAGGCGACGACGTTCCACTGAAAATTCCGCTTGCAAACAAGAAAAAAAATACAAAAAAAAAAAACTAAACTAAATAAATAAATATCACGATGCGGTGCAATACGTTACAGGGTATATAGGTTGTACGGGCAGACAGCAACAAAATAAAGAAAAAGAAGAAAGAGTATGCGCAACAAGCCGAAGCTTAAATACCCTTCTACTTAGATGGGTTTCTGATATGTGAGCAGAATTTTGAAGCTTCAAATTACTGAGCTTGGCTCAAAACCTGATCCGGCGGACATATACTGCCTGCCATAGCAATGTGGATATATTCAAAGCTTGAAGACAAAAGCCTCTAAGCTGAGAGACTGTACAGACAGTCGGCCATGGCTTTAAAGACTCAACTATATTATCAATAATATATTCACTCTATATAGTCTGAAGTTGCTTTCCTATACGCGTTACAGATATCAACACAAAGTTCTAATACCCTCTAGAAGAGTGTTTAAAAAACCGATTCACTCAGTCGTCTGTTGAGGAGAGAAGTAAGGGGAGGCGTGTGTGGGGGGGTGTGTGAAGCATACGTTGGATTTGCGCCCCCCCACTACGCAGCCAATCCATTCGGCATTCGTTGCCATTGTCGTTGTGCTCGTCATCATCTTTGTTTTCATAGCTGTGACTGTGACATTCCACAGTTGTGTAGCAGAGTGTAGCACTCTCTGTGTGTGTGTGTGTGTGTGTGTGTTTGTGGGTGTGGGTGTTTGGGACAAGTGCTGACGCTTGAAATTCTGGCTTAAAAAAGAATATAAATTCAGCGATTTGGTTTATGTGCAGAGCTCTAAGTGGTCTCATTGCGCCACAAGCTCAAGTGTGATATAAAAAATATATGGAGAATTATTGAGAGAATGAACGAAAATCAGTCACAACTCAATTGTTAACAGTTTGCCTGGCAGTTGGGTTGGAGAGGGTTGGTTGCGACTGGCTTTTAAATTGCCGACACGACGAGCTGGCCGGCCAGCTGGCCAACTGGTTGACCCGCTTTAAAGCCAAACAAATGCAAATATCAAAGACGAGCCAATGAATTGGTATGAAAAACAACTATTGTTGTTTCCTGCCTGTGTATGCGTGTGTGTGTGCGTGTGTGTGTGCGACTGGCCAAACAAAAGTCTTGGCTGGCCCGCACGTCAGCCAGTCCGAGTCAGTCAAAAACCCAAAAAGCGAAACGAAATTGAAATCAATGCATGGCCCCAGCTGCACTTGGCTGGCCTGCTTCACCCCTACCCCAACATTTTGAAAAGTGCACCGCCTTCCCCCCTACCCGCTACCCCAGCCTCTGTCTCACTCCTCTCACAATCTCAGCCAAACAGCTGCAACAGCAGCCGTCTCATGTTTATGGCACATTTTGCAATTTTGCCGCTTTCATTTACAAAATTAGTTAGATTGCCATTGTGCAGCTGGGGCAGCGGGGCTCGTTGAGGGGAGTGGGACGCGGGGGTAGAGGTGTCGAACGCGGTTCGGGTGCACAATTTGGGAGCAGCCAATTGCCAAAGTGTTTTGCAGGCTGTGAAAAATGAAGCCTATGCGGAAAAGCGAAAAAACAACAACAAATCAATCGATCAACACAAAATTTGTTGTGGTTAAGAGTGAGGGCTAAGACCAGAAAAAAAATGAAACTTCAGCCAAATTTAATGGCAACAGTTGAATAAATGTTTTCCATAGGAATTGAAAGGCCAGAAAAAAAATTGATAGAAAGTGAAACGACGTTGATAGGCTGCTAAAAGAGTAAGAGAAATTGGGAAGCAAATACATAATTTTAATTTAATTTTGTTAAACAATTCAAATATTTATCTAAAGTCGATCTCTGTAGAAAGTGTGATTAATGTTTAAATCTAATATGTGTAAATGCACAGCCAAAGTCATCCAGAACCAAACTTAAAACTCAGAGCTACCTCACGCTTAATTTATTAGCAGCGTAATTGGGCAGAAAATGATTTCAGGAACAGCTGAACGCAAACTTTCCATGTTGCTAAATCATTTCATTTCTGAGCTAGCAAATCGCTTGAGCATCTTAATTGGCAGAAGTAAAAAAACGAGAACTTTGCAAAATGCCACTGCAGCTGAGTTCTCCAACGGGCGAAACACAGAGAGAAAAATTTCAAAATAGTTTGCTAAGAGAAAAAAAAAGAAGAGGAAAATGAAAAAAACATGGCGTAATTGAAACTTAATGAGAAAAGACAGCAACCACAGCAGCCACATGCATATTTGAGGCCAGGCGAGTTGCTGGCAAAGTCACGCGAATTTATGGGGTGTTAGTCGTCGTTGCGACTGTAACTGAAGAACTCGAAAGGCAGATGCGTATCTGCAAGTTGCGCAAACGTGCAAGGGTCTTGGCGTAAAGATATGACAGTCATTTGCCAAAGGCATTAGCCAAGCGCTAGATATAAGATACTTTTATTTTGCCAGTTAAACAGATACAAGATACTTTGTGCATTGCACAAGACCTAAACTGCTGAACAATGAGCATTAATTTAACTTGTTGTATCTTTTGCAGATGCGCTCAGCTTTGGCCAGGTGAATGTGGAGCCGAACACAGCGCTGCTCAACGAGGGCGATCGCACCGAGCTGCTCTGCCGCTATGGACGTGCCATCAACTACTGCCGCATCGAGATACCTGGCGAGCAGAAGGTGCTCAATCTGTCGCCCGTCTGGAGCAAGACGCCTGGATTTACCTATTATGGCGCCGGCCTAAATGCCGGCCAGTGCGGCGTCAGCATCGAACGCGTCAAGGCCAGCAACAATGGCCAGGTCAAGTGCAGTCTGGGCGTAGAGGGCGAGGAGCTCTCCGGCACCATAGATCTAGTTGTGGCATGTAAGTACAAAAACTACACTTATGACTTTTTCCTCAACTTAACGTTGAACCCTTCAACCGTCTTGTTGCTCTATTCTAGTGCGCCCACAGCAGCCCATTATTGAGCTTATCTCGAAGGCCAACCGTGATGGTTTCTTTAACGAGGACACCGAATTCCATGCCCGTTGCATTGTGCGCGATGGCCGCCCGCCAGCCAACATCACCTGGTACCTTGATAACATGCCCGCCAATAAGCGCACCAATCCGCTACAGATACTGGCCACGCCCACCAACGACAACGTCGAATTGTCTACTTCCGTGCAGGAGATCCAATGGCATTTGGGACCGGAGGACAGCAATCGTAAACTTGTCTGCCGTTCGCATCATCAAACCGATCGCGAGAGCGTCCCGCCCCAGGAAGCTGCCTACATCATCAATGTGCGCTGTGAGTATTCAGGATAGAACTTGACCACACAAATAAATTCAATAGAAGAAAGCGGTTCGTTTCGCAAATGCAAAGATTACATGACCTTACAGACATTTTTATTTACATAAAACCTTCCTGTCCCTATCTAACTAACTATAGTATATAAAGCATATGAAATATTCGTCTGTGCCAAGCAGTTATTTTGAAGCTAACTCTTAATGAGTTTTGTTAAAGATATCTTTTGAGTAGTTTACTCCAAAATGTTATTAAGAGCCAATTTCTTCTAAGAGAGCTAAGCCAATTTCCACACAATAAATCGAATTGAAAGATGAAGAAGACTTTGAAGAGAAAAACCTCAATCAAGACAGAAGCCCAAGCCCGCCCTGGAACGCAGGCTTAGGATCAGGTTCTCAAGCACAATCTAAAGGCTTGGAATTCCAACTATGAAACGAACCAACGACATGTTTTTAAGTGAACCCTGAATCAAAACTACGACAATTTTTGGGCATGCAGCCCTATAAAGTATTCGTCTACGTATTCTTGGCACAAAGAGATGAATTTCTTAACAAAGGACAGCAAGTCAGTTGGTTAGGCTTACACGGACTCAAGTGTTAACATTGAATAGGAGTATATACACTTTTTGAGATCAAAGTAGCTTTAAAGTCTTGGCATAGTTCTAATATCCACTTCAAGGTTTGTGAAAAACAAACTTTAAAGCTAAATATGTTTAGCAATATCGATTGATTAAAATGCATGTTTTTTCCACGCCCAGATGCGCCTGTCCGTCAGCCGGAGGCTTCTGTCTATGGTCTCTATTTGGAGCACACGGCCATTGTGAATATTACGATTCGTGCCAGCCCGCCGCCAACCATTAAATGGACCATCGATGGCGCCATTGTCTCGCAGGGACGCAGCGAGGGACGCTATTCGGCCTATGAGCCACAATATGTGGGCAACGATGAGTACAATGTGAC